CACACAATACATTGAACACTCCCTGAATTAATATAATATTATTGAATGGATATTAACCAAACAAATAAAATTGATACATTAGTTTGCATTAGTCAATGCTTACTTGAATCACACAAATGTCAAGGCAAGCTGCTGATGGAGGAACTTTCCCATCCAAATCAGATTCATATGGGTGATCTTTGGTGTAACAATATTCAGGCAGCAATGCAATGTTACGGTCAGCGTCCACAATAGGGTTTGGAGAGCAATTAATTGCGTAGGTGTGTTCTGCCGAGAGGGGGTTTTTCACTTGTCGCTGCCCTCACTCCAATGATTACTCAATTAATATTAAGGCTGAACTAAATTGAAAGTGACAATAATTATTTATATTCGCGCTTCTCTTCCCTATACGATGTATTTCTCCTATACTCGTATCTAAATAAGGGTACCCACGATAAATACGCGTAAACAACAACAATCTATCTACCGCGGAATCGAAGGGAAAATTTTCTTTTACTAATTTTAAAACATGGCGAACTTCGATTTAGTGTTTTGACTAGTCAAGGAAGGTCACTTATTTAATTTTAACAACAAAGAATTTAAATTATCAACTTGCTTTACTGCAACTACGGGTCGTTACCGATCTATTGCGCTGACAACTAACGTTAAATACAGCTACGGGTCGTTACCGATCTACTGCCGATAGTTAAGTCAAAAAGCTTGTGTTTCACGACGATAGAAATAATGAAAATAAAAAGTTTCGTAATAACTAAAGGATAAAGATCAGATCGATCGTTTATTATATCCGAATATTTCAGTGTCGAATATTATTTATTTTATAACATCAATGATTTCAACATTTTCAACATTTTCAACATAACATAACATGAGGATTTTTGATAGTCGGGACGCTCCTTATATATATTTTGCTGTTACTAGATTTTCTACGCCACAGAGCACAATTTTCTATCTTTCCCACGCTGTCACCAAAATCGCGTTACTCGCGTTATGTTCTATTCTTAGCTACATTCTTGTGTTCAAAACTGTCACCAAATCGCGTTACTTGCGTTTGCTTTGAGTAACATCTAATTTTTTAATATTTGATCGTCAGGGGCGTTGTTTGATTACTGCGGAGGAAGATTTTACCATGTGATTTGCTTATCGACGTCAGCCGATCAGCTTGCTGTAACAAGTAATTACATGCCCACACAACTAGCAACTAGCTTTTTACCTCATAAAGAGAAATGTACAGCGGACTCTGGAGTATATGCAGGAGTTTCAAATATCTCATTAATTATAAAGTATGTTTTAAAATATATTACAGTAATTAAAAAGGAATTTCTGTATGCAGTCCCATATGAATGCAATATTGCAATATGTACTGACTTCTCCTTATCAAATTTCTTTTTACTGTAAATATCATTTTTCTTTAACTCCCCAAATATAACTATAATCTCTGTCTAATTATAATAATGTACAAATACATAAATAAAAAAAATAAAAGCATTTAACTAATAAAGAAATGTCTTGCGTTGGTAACACAATGGTTACATGATAACAATTTTGGGGTGCATACTGATATCTATTATGATAATAAAACATCACGTAATTTCAGCATCAGCCGATTTCAGTATTATTGGATTCAAGAGAATGTTTATAAGTCATAAGTATTAGCACGTTTTTTCTGCAGGTTCTTTGAACAGGCTACTTAAAAGTACAAGATGCAGAACTAAAAATTTCAATGGTTTCGGCAACTCTTTTTAATTTTATTTCCCAATTATTTGCAAATATCTTGCCTTTGGAGGAATTAACATAATAGTGTTGGAGATCTAGCACAACTACCGCCAGTAGGCAGTGTTAATTGTGACAATTATTCTATCCTCCATTTCTTTGCCAACCATGGAGACAACAAGATGATAAATTATTCTATTAAATACTCCAAGAAATAAGACTCAGAAATATTTCCCAATCATTGTGGAATGAAATGTTACACTTGACGTCACGAAGTCTTTGAAAAATTTTGCAATCACACATAAACACAGTCGAAGCTTTCAAACTCTAAACGAAGCCAAACTACAAGCGGGTAACTACGTATCTGTGCCGTTGACTTACGGTCGATAATAACACGTTAAATACTCATCCTCTGAAAGGCAACGGACTAAGCATATGTTTATGAGTTAAGTCACTTTACTACATCAAGATGAATACATTATTGTACCAATTGATCTATAAAGTGCTATGTAGACGCTTTGATGCTTTTGAGACACAAGATATCCCATTCCGTAAATCATATAACAGCGAGTAAGGTTAAAGTTCAATAGCCAACTACTGAATCGTGTTTTCACTTTTGTTATGTCATGGTATTATAATAACTGGATCGTAGCAAAAGCGTTGCAATATCATCAACGACAAGACTGTCAATTCTAACAAATATTCTATCGCAATATAGAATAATGTTACCGAATGAAGATGAAGATTGCATGTTCAGATAAAGATACAATCTAATCTGTGTATAGCTACACTAATCGATACAGTAAAATAAGCTTTTCTTTCCGACTTCTAACAAATATTCTTATGGCATATAAAACAATTATGGAACAAATGAGGATTGCGTATGTAAGTGATAATTACAATCTGCGTATAGCTACACTAATCGGTAAATAAACAGCCTTTCTTTCCTGACTTATAACAAATATTTTACAGCGATACAGAACAATTATGGAAATAACGTTACAGAATGAAGGTGATATTGCATATATACTGTACAGTATATGTTGATTACAATCTGCGTATAGCAACACTAATCAGTAAATAATCAACCTTTCTTTTCTTGACTTACAGTATAACAAATATTCTACAGCGATATAGAACAATTTATGGAAATAACATTACAAAATGAAGGTGAATATTGTATATAAGTGACGATTAGATAAGATAGCTACATTAATCGGTGCAATAAGACCATTTTTTCTTTTCTGACTTCTTGTGACGACGACAAATTATAATAAACTGAAATAAAGTGACAATATTCCGCTATCGAATGCTTGTTTATTCATACATAAATGCATTAACGAATAAACATATTGTTACGTCTCATCACATTAAGCATAGGCACTTGTCATGTGAATGAATGGAACAAATAGTAATGTATAGTATGTACTCAGAGCGGTGTGAGATATGTATGACGTCAAGTGTAACATTTCTAATGTCTTAATTCTGGTCATGAAATTAGGACTGGAGTGACTGGAATTACTCCAGATTAGTAACGAGCCAATCAAAGTTTTCGAAGAAATCAGGGCCAATCACATCACAGAATTTTCGAAGAAATTTGGGGGGGCCGCTGTGTGAGTTCGATGAGATCTAATATACAGTACTAACGCCGATCAGTGGCTTAATCAATGACGTATTATTGGGAACTTTCTAGATCTTTTCAAAATGTAATTATTGTTCTCCTGTATGCAGAATGTGACCAATGATAATTGATGCGCAGAAATTCGCGCATATCGATTACGCATTAATGACGTTTAATTAGAATATCGTGACTCAAAAAGATTCGCTATAAAAAAAGACAGAAATTGAGCTAGTTTACGAAAAAGCTTCGCGAACTGCTTTACAAAAATCCATCCGACAAACTTTATCATTTTAAAATGTTTGCTCTCACAAGCGAATTTATTATTGGATTGTTGATCGGAATTATCCTTGGATATTCCTTTTATTACAAAATTCAGAAAGACCAGCTGCATATCAGAAAATTGATGAATTAATCAATTTAATGGAGTCGAAGAAAAAACCTAAGTCTGCCAGACAAATTGGCCAACGTGACTATCCACCAGAAATCGAAAACTTGTGGAATGATTTAATCCTATTGTACGAAAAAAGAATTAAATCGGATTCAAAAGTTTTATTTAACAAAATGGTGCTTGAAATCCATAAGTTACTCGGTGAAGGAAAGAACATTGCTGTTTCTACAATAAGAAACTTTTACCTACGAAAAACAACTCCGCGGAAGACATCTATTATGGCAATTCGATGTTGGATTGAGGAGGAAAAGAAGAAAACCGTAAACGACGATGGCGAGGATGAAAATCAAGACATAGACGATAGTGATTTCATTATTAATAATACCAATGGTAAAAATGGTAACAATATTTAGATTTCGCACCAGAGTGACCAAAGAATAGGTTACTCACAAATAGCTTTGGTCCGAGTATTTTCCTCCCATGCAATCACTCTGGTGCATTTAGTATTGTTTATATTTTCAAGAGCGCGCACATTCAATAATCAAAATAATAAAATTTCTGTTTACAAAAAATTGAATTATTTTTATATTTCGACTTTTGATTGCAATTGTGTCAAAGTAGCGAAATATGATCAACGCTTTAACGAGTGCGCTCGAGAAGTTTTTATCAATAAGGAACGAACTTCCGTTGATAGGTCGTTCGAGGTTGGCGAGAAGCTTTTACGTTAGTTTAAATTTATTTCCCTTACGTTTCTTCTAATTTTTGTTTCTTTCTTGGTTCATCATGTGTTGGTTTTAATGCTCGTTTAGTAGTTATGATTTTCCGTTCCTCTTAATAAATTTCATAAGTAATTTTTTCTTGATCTAGATATTTTTCAAAAATTTTGGTGTTATTCGTTTTAAAAACATATGGAGTAATCTTTTCTCCTTAAGCTTTTTTTAAAATGCTTCCAATAGTGCTGTAATTCTTGGGTTCCATGGTCGATTTGATGTAAATTAGTTTCATATACTTTATTTTTATATAGAGATAATCCTATATACATTAATCCTGTTATGGTTTATAATCCTCACATTGGTATAATAAAGTGAGCATTAAAATTAACAAGTCCATAATAATAAGTTATGCTTTCAAATTGTTATTAGTCAAATTAGTTAACTTTCAGCCACATCAGCCTCACATTTATGTCACATAATAAAATGTTCACTTTGTCTGGTTTTGTTGCAGTCTGCCCCATATGTTGCATAACATACCAACTGTCTATAAGCAAAAATCAGTACATATCTAACTGTAAACTGGTGTTAGAGATGCTGCAACAACTAACAACTGATCACTCTGAAAGAATATACCAATACCAAGGTAAAGGTTTCAATTCTACAAAATTATAATAAATTATAATTATATACATGTTACATACCTCAAAGTCCCTTACATCTATATAAAATGAACATTCAGTATCCCATGTGACAGTGCAGTTAACACCTGATCAAATTCCTTATAAACTTGTTCTTGCCAACAGAATGTTATGGGATATTACTAAGGTGCCATTGATTTGTTGAGTCACCTTGTTGTACAAATAAATGAAGAAAAATAGGATTTCAATTTTCACTCTTGTGTCTCCATTGAACGCATTGTGATTCACCAGAATCACATGTGTTTCCTGTTCTAGGTCTTCATAAGTTCTGGAAGGGTTACTACTTGGCCACTCTCTCCTATCAAATGGAGTTGAGTTGATACATTGGTAAATGAGCTGGGAAACGAGTTTTTGATTATGATATGCAAAATTTTTAACATGGTATTGTGTGTTGAGCCTGGTTGCTACTTGTGGGAAGATATCATTTTTATAGTCAGCTAGTGAAAGAGTTTGACAAAACTCTTTAATAGATTGGAAATAGGTCCCGAAAAATTCGTCCAATAAGTACTGGATTGCACGCGGCAGGCCGCCAGTATCAGATAGTAGTAGTAGCTCAAAAATCCAAAGTTTCTTCTTCCATATAGAATCTTTAATATATGTATCCATGAAATACTCAATGATTTCCATGCGAGATGCCATGGTAATACAGCTCAGGGGATGGATATGGTAACCTGTGGGCTCTGCCGCTTCAACTACGGCTCTTCGCGCCGTTCCAGATACGAACGTCTGCACGTAAGTTCCACTAGTGCGGTCAGTCATGCGGTTCCAAGATGGAACAGAATATCTTTGAGTAGGGATAATCCAGATTCCGTGGGAGGATCTTGAGCAGAAAGGTTTTTTCCTGGAAGGCTGGGTTTCTTTCGTTCATTAGGACCATGCCAATCGGAACTCACGATTTTCTGAATCTCGTCTAAGTGAATGAACAAGAACAACTTTTGATCCGAAGGCTCTATATCTTGATAAATATTTCTGATAATCTCCCCAAGCTTGAAAAACTGTTGGTGCTTGAGGGCTTCGTAAAGGAATTGTTCAAAGTTCATAGAAACTTGTCTTTAGTCAATCAAGCAATTGAAGCAATTGACGAGTTAATTCGATCCTCTGTAAATAAGGTTGTATGGATACCTCACTCGCAAATCACTGACATAGAGTCAAGTCAAATTGACGACGTCTACTATGCTATTCGCAAGCAAACTGTTGTATTAGGAAGAAACGGTTTCATTTCTTTGTAAATCATTGTTCTAGCCGTTTTATCTTTGGTTTCACCATCGGCTGTAATATGACGAACCTTTATTTTCGAATTCAAGAGAATAATAATACCGGTTTAAGATTTCCTGCTGTCTTGCTTTGATTGCTGTTTTAAATAAGTGAGACAAATGTTGGAAATTTTTCAAAGGAAACAATCATCGATTCCTCCGAAGACATATTCCCTGATTTGTCGCCAGAGTTGCTGGTTTTGATAGAGCTATCGTTTTCTTTAGTAGGTAAATGCAATTCCTGTATTAAACCTTGTTCAACAATTTGGTTTTTATCAATTTTATCGTCCTGTTCTAATTCAGACACTTCAGTTTGCAACGAAGGTGACTCAGTTAAAACTACATGACTTTGATCGTTCCCTGAGGGAACGGTTTTTGTATTATGATTAACTTGGGGTCGTGACTCCATATCTCTGGATGTAATTTCATGAAAATGCAATAAGTCTTGGGCTCGGTTTTCAGCAAATTTGCGCTGAAGCTTTTTTCTCTCTTATCTCGTTGCTAACCCTTTCTTTAACTTTCAAATCCACAAAATCATCGACCTCTTTATCTTCTGGCGATATGGACGAGGAGTTGGATGGACGGCTATCCGAAGAAATAACATTTTGTAACCGCTTCTGTTCCAATTTCGCAATTCTAGCCTTAAGCTCGTCATTTTCCTCTGCAGTCTGTTCCAATTTCGCGACTCTGGCTTTAAGCTTTGGCGATCTGCTCTAACTCCATGATTATGGCCATAAGCCCTGCTTCCTTAGCCAAGAGCGAAGCGGTCTCACCCATAAGTTTTGCATTTTCTTGTCTGAGTAAATCTAGTTCGGACGGCATACTTAATATTACTGTATGTGTTTTATATATTTGTAGATTTATTTAAATTTGTGACGAAAAAAATATCGCGAACCGGGCGAAATAAAATCTACGCTAACCCATATTTGTCTCACTCTTATGGCAATCATTTTCCATGATAATCGCGTGATGTTGTGATCGATGATATTTTGAAATTAACCAGCACAAATGTCTTCCTCCAATATTACTTGGTGCTTTTATAGGAGCGTTTTACCATCTCGCTTCGTTACACGTCAAGTCTTATTCCCTCAGTTTGCGTTAAAAACTCAACTTTTACAAATCCTGCTCTTAATGAATCTGAAAAATCGAAGTCTGCCTTCCTCGCCTGGAAGAAGAAATGGCCAGTACTAACCTATTTAGGTTCCATCACCTGGAAGAAGACTGCGAAAGGGCTGTTGGGACTTTTGTGGAATGGCGGTGTGATCTTCCTGGTAGGGGGGACCTTATTTACCTTGGGTGGGTGACCCTATCTAATGAGCAACGCGTCAACAAAACCTTGGAAAAAGGTACTCAACCGGAGACGGAAACGGCGGATAATGAGCTCATTTTTCGGCCTGAAGTTACAGAACACCTCAAGAAAATTTTTCAGCCGGTTCAAAATTATTCGTATTACCATGTTGTTTGTGGTAAACACGGAACCGGGAAGACAACATTGACTACGAAGGTCGCAAGAGAAATTGGGAAAGGCGTCATCCTGTATTATCAATCACAAAGTCTGACAAATGAAATTCTCGAATTGAGATTTCCAGGATTATCTATTACTATGTGTTCTAAGCCTTTATTATGCTGCAACAAATTTTAAAGCCTCGTTCTTCATTTAGCCATATCCTGGTTCGTGCAATCACGTTTTCTAACTGTCTGCCTCTTATGTTTTTATGCCTTAATATTCATTGAGCAAGTGTTGACATCAAACTCGGATAATCAACACAATGGACGTTACATTTCCTATAAATGGATATCAGCCAAATATAGAGTAATTGTATTGTTGAAATATAATATTTGTAAGTACATAACGAATTCTTAACAATCCATTTATACAATAGTCGTGACAGCGTGTTTCTAGCCAGACTTTCTTCGGCGCATTGCTCACAATAGAAACATTACACAAAATAAAGTCGACGTTTGTTCGATGTAAAAGTATTTTTATAAATTATGTTGCTGTACAGTATTTCGAATCAGGTGAGAAGCTTTTATCACAATAAAACGACCATATAGTCAAAAGTGTGTGAACTAATTATTCGTGACGTAAACCGCCCCTTCTGGCCGAGACTTTTTTCACAAAAAGAAACTTTTTACTTACAACTCAGCTTACAGTATCGTAGTTCGTGTAATTAAATGATCATGGTTAACGGTTACGAGATAACGCGTACGAGATAACGCTTAGTAATAACACAGGTGTTCAATTTACCATATCTCATTGGCTTGTACGTGCAAAACTCTATTTGATTTCAATCAATCATACACAATTTGTAATAGTCAGGTTTCCTAACGTTTGGAGAATACCTTATTTAACGTTTTCCGTAAATTTTTTAAACTAATAAAGTAACTTTTCAATCAAATGCTTCAATATGTTGTAAACTTGTCTTGTGTACACGATCTCAAGTTCAGGGATACTCCAGTCTTGCTATCAATTATGTCGTTCATTCAACTCTGTACATCCACATGTTAATAGTACTAGGGCCAAATACAACCAGTTTAAAAATTATGCCTTTATCGTGTCAGAAAGTTTGTCAACCAGATTGCGGGTATACTTTAGTAAGCACATTATGTAAATTCTGTAGGTCTAGGCAGTTGCCGGTTGATTCTTTTGAGAGCGTATTCGTCTCCAGACCCAAATAGGATTTTTCTTTACCGAGTGTATAGTCATTACAATCCTAGTTGATAACAAAATTCTCACTATCAAAAGAATATTGCTTGACTTTTGATGTTCCCTCTTTCCGAATCGTGATATAACGAGATTTGATATCGATAATTATAATAAATGGCAATTGATAAAGACGCGGACAAGTTTTCTCTGTCCTTCATTAAATGTCTGACATCTGATATAGTCATTTAAATGACAGGACATAACTATAGAAATAAACCGTACTAAACCGAATATGTCACTAGTACAGTAAGTAATAAATGACTATGGGCCTGCCAGCAGCTCGGTTGAAGAAACCAAAGCTGCCTTAAACAAAAGATTTATTACAAATATTAGCACATCACATATTTTTATAAAATGAATAATATATATCTTATAATACATACTTCGATATTGCTATCAAATTTCGATAAGTATCATATTAATATTAATGCTGTGATGCTTTGAATTTGCTATTGTAACAACTAGAACCATCAATCGATGTGATTTCAGAAGAAGAAAATGTTACAAATGGGAGCGAAGACGAAGAGTTTAGCTATAACAAGGTCAGGCATAAATTAATTAAAGTAAGCGAAAGTACCATAACGGCGATCATATTGTCCTGTGTACCCATCCGATAATCACGATCATGTGTTGCCAAGAATCTTGAACCAGCATGCCATTTATTTAAACGTGCAGATAAATAGCCCATTTTTGGATGAAAATAAATATATTAGGATGTCAAGAGAATTTCAAAATTGATGGCAGAGAAACGTTATTAAACCCCATCAAGACAGCAGACAACAATGCGGCAAACGTCAAAACTACAGAATGACAGAGTATGACAATCCTCCACATAAGGTTCGGGTTGTTCGACATTCCTTCTTTTTAATTAATATTAATATGGACATATTTAACTTTCCGATCACGTTTACAAGCTGTAACACGATCTACAGACAATATAGTTTGGGTAATATTGTCAAATTACAACACATACTCGTGTAACGTACCTAATTTACCTCCGTATTGGTTGTAATTTCACTCGGTGAGTTAACTCATATTCCAAGATATCCTATTTTGGTATTCTCGATCTTATTGTGCTAGGCTATTGTATTTACAATCACGTGGAATGCAGCTGCATAAGCAATCCACTTTTTCCATTCTATTTCAACCTCTTTTCTCTCTCACTCTGATCAAGGAAAAAAAAATAGATAACACAAACTGCAATAAAACGGACATTAATAATCAATGCACAAATATAGACGTTCATATTAGTATTCGATATTGGCTATTTATAATTTATTTAACAATGACATTAAATCCAATTCACGACACAAATTTCAACGACAAAGCAACAAACTCTACATCGGCAACGACACACTTTCTCCCAACCGAATGCATACAAAAGATATTCGCATATCTATATGAAGATATTCCATCTCTACATTCGGGTGTATTAGTATGCCGTCATTGGTGCAGAAGCATAGTCCCTATACTGTGGCGACAAACGCTTCATCTTGAATTATCAAAGACGAATCCTCGCATAATACCAGCATATCTTCCATTTCTCACCGAAGAGTCATTAGCATCATGTGGAATAATACGTCGACAAAAGAATAATAATAAGAAACAACAACCATTTTTCGACTATCCATGCTACTTACGTCAGATGGATTACTCAATATTATACGAATGCATATGCGCATGGTGGAATAGTGTAAACGATCAAAGCGACTATATGATAATCCGCTCAAATCAAATAGGAGATGGGGCATGTGCGAATGGATGTGAAAACGGATGCGGATGCGGAGGCGACATTGACAGCGAGAATGCCGATAAAAGGCCGATATGTAGGAGACGAGCAGACGCGGAGGATGAGGGTGCGAACGAAGCTTACGGAAAGGCTTTGTTGGCAAAGGAACTATGCAAGTTGTTTGTTAGTAGTTGCAAATCATTCGGGTGCTTACATCTGGAGACATTGCCTCTGAAAGAGCAGATGGAGAAGGCATTGTTCCGTATCCCCGTCGAATTTTTGTCGATTCCTGATTTCCCCGGAGCGAGCGAGTGTTTGGCTAATCTAGCTGCGTTTGGTGAGTGTGCACGAAAAAAAAAAGAGCAAATATGAGTGACGGTGGTTTAATCTAATATTTTGCATGTCCGAGGCTATGGATTAATGAGTCTAAAAACGTGGGCAATGAATGGGACGTGGCGTCTTGTGACCAAACAATTATTATGTATGGTATCAACAGGTTTAGTGAGCAGGACCAAAAGAAAATTTTCGGTGTAACCACATCCGTACTCTGTCATTTTTACGTTAATCATTCATACGGTTTACCGCGTCTATTACCTATCCTTTATTATACTAATCACATTTCTAATATTATCAGAATGTAGTGGTGACTATGATAAACAGCAAATATTCACCGGGATGGCATCTATTTGCAAAGATCTCAAGATTCTCACCGCAGATGGAATTGACTACGGAAAAGACGCATCATCAGCGCTGGCAACCCTGCTCTCCAAGCAGCGGGGTCTTGAGTATTTTCTTCTTTCCCGTTGTTTAAGTGATCCGTCTCGTATACTATCAGCACTGAAATCAAGTGAATTGACATTGAAGAGTCTACAATTCTCATCATGCCATTTCCCGAACGATGACTCATTGAAGCCAATATCATCTTGTGTTCATATTGATACCTTAAGAATGAATCAGTGCGGATTCTTGACAGACGAAATGTTTGCTTCAATCAAAAACACCACCTTCCCTAATCTTGCATATTTGGACTTTACCTACACATTCGCGCCTACTTATTCGTTTATTGAAGTATTCCGTCGATCTCATTCGTCACTACGGGAGATATGTCTTGGCGGAATACACGAACATTCTCCAGATATAGTTAGCGGCGTGGCTGAGTACTGTCATAATGTGACCGTATTTGAAGTAACAGTGCAGCGCGACGGTATACACAAGTTACCAATGTTGTTACGAAATTGTCATCAATTGGAAGTCGTGCGACTTTATGGAGATTTAAATAGTTGGACCGGATTCTTAAATGCGAGCGACATGATTGGGGAAGTGGGAGATATAGTGCCGTTGAAAATGAGAGAGATGGTAATAGTAACGAATTGGGCTGTGAGTGCAGCTGGATTGAGCAAATTTTTTCAAAAGTGCAGAGCGTTCTTGAGTAATATGACAGTGCACTGTTTCGATCACACACTTGACATTAAGCCATATACGGATGCGATAACCGAATATGTGAAAAGACATGGAATGGATGTAAAATGCCTTTCATGTAGATTAGAGGATAGACTTTTGGAGGTAAGCAAAAGTGCAAGATTACATTATTAAGAAAATTACATTGTAAAGTATGCGCGGGTGAAGTTTTGTTATCTAATTGCGTTGTTGTGTTTGTATAGTTTACTTATCGGTCCACTTCGCCTGACGACCATAGATGAGCCATATATGAGCGCCAATGTTATAAATGGGGGATTGCTGTTAATTGTGGGACATTTAACAGTGTTTCGTATTAATACTGTTGTAAACGTTATTGATTTTATGAAGGCATAAACGGAAAACGTTGGTCTCCATGCGTAACACTAATAGTTACTAGTATTATCACGTGATTCGAATATGTTGTTGTTTCAATCAAACAATAACCGAGAGCAAGCACCCGTGCTGTCGTTGGATATCAGTTGTTGTTTTTTTCATTGATGGTTGTAACGTGTCAGTTTTATAACGATAGTGCAATAGTGACCTCGTGATTCTTGCACTAATGCTTAAACGTTCATTGTCTGTCAAAATATTCAATGTCCAATAGCATTCATTATTAATGGCATGAACGTATTATATTTTACATGTCTTTTGAACAGGCTATTCCTAATCACATCAACATAATCCAAAAATCAAAGGGCTGTATTTGAAAAAAAGTCCATGTGATCATTCCAGCTTCATCGAATGGAAATACTTTGAAATATTCCTTGGCTTCCTCGACGTCTTTGACTAAAAGCTTAACATATACACCCAGAGGAGCCGGAATTGCAGATATTTCGGTCAATACACCCGACTATAAAAATTCTCGCAGAAAATGGAATGTCAAGCGCAGAAAAATCAAATATGCTTTGAAATATATATTACATGGGATAAGTCTTCACGTGGTTTTTTTATGCTCACCATATAGAGGCGCCATGCTGCAATTGATTGTTCCTTTGCTAAACGAGCGTATGCTTCTCCAGTAAAGTTCTCATTGAATCTAGCAATGCCCAATACAAACTGTTTCGGACCATTCGATAAAATTGGTAATGGACTATTGAGCCTGTCCTTAACCTCTTTATCATCACAATGAAACAGCCGTTGCCATCCCCGGTATTCGTTGAGGATATAGAATTCGAAAGTGGATGGAAGACCCTAAATTTGTTTATGACCATGAAAAAAAAAAGTCAGTGTTTGCTTCGACATCCAGTCGATGCAGGCGCAGTTCGATACTTACTGTGTTAAGTATCAGAGAGCCAATTATTTCTCTCGCTTCATCCAAACCCGCGGTCTCCAACATGTATACTACTCCTCGTCCTTCAGCCAACCTGAACACATCTCGAACCATTCCGCTGACACGATACGCCCAAAGTTGGTCTAATCTGGGCCGCATTATCTCTTCAGGGCTTAATTTCGTTGTATTAAAATACTCGAATACCATCAAGCGCATTATTAACAACTGAATGGAGAATTAGCTAAGAAAGTAGAAAATAGACAAAAAGAATTGGTGACAGTTGAATGAAGCGGTATTCTAAAAAAAAGGCTTGCAATAATTGTATATGTACATGACTGACTTTATTTGTTCCCAGAAGTATGTGCTAAACTCTCCCGGTCTAGAATATCAACTTCTTTCTGTAACACAAATATAAGTTTTCGGCTTACCAAAGTTGTTCTAAAATATTCTGTGTATCCGCGCTCCCTCACATGGCAGCACGTACCCAACGCTTTAAGAGACGACTCTTTCTCAAAATCAAAAAAATAACAGTTGGGGAAGTGGTGGAAAGCGGTGAATGGAAATGAGAGAGGAAGAAATGATAAATGAGTCAGGGGGTTAAACCACGGTTTTATGGTTGTTGCGATGGAAAAGTGTAATAGTAACGGATAACCCCTATACATGTTGATCTGGCGCAGTCTTCCCGAGTCAGCTGAGCGTTGACGAGTGTTTCAGCAATCAATGGTCTAGATTAATGCTATAAATCGAATTCCTGCTGACATATGATTGTATTAGCAAATAAGAAAACATGTCACTAAATAACGATAACAAATTCATTAGGTAACATATTAAAATTGGCAAGCAATTGTAAAAATGTTAAATATTTACTATTTGTTGTGTACAATTTATTAAACGATAACACAAACGCCTTTTTATAGTCTTGAATGACAATCACTATACTCGATTTATATTAATTCTATTATTACTAAACAGTTCGTAATCCCGCCACGAAAGAAGGGAACTCGCTTCCGGGTAAACGAAACAAAGCGCACTCTCCCACTCCGTTCTCTTGAGACATCTCTTCGAACAATATGTTTAATTCTTCCATGATGTTTATACGCTCCCATGGATTGATAGCATGATGAATTCATCCACGTACTTGTGAGTCTGGATGGCTCCAAGGGAGATATCGTATATATTACTATAAACGGGTATATAACACTGTTGAATCAAACATATCAAATGGCCAACATCGCTCAAGACCGTCGATGCTTACCAGTCCGCTTGGGGTATTATATGTATTGAGAGTGGGCAACCTGGCGAATAGAGGAGATTACGCTAGCATCAATTACTTCACGAGTAAAATGGCGAATATGCAGCCGCCTATTGTTGTCCAATGAACGTTATAACGTTCTCTTTCCATCTCATATTCACCGGAATGTAAGTTTATCGTCCAGTAATGAACTTTTTTAATTGTACAGTTCTATGCGATTAATCGTGCGAATAAATAATCCCAGGCAATATTATCAACTACTACTACTGATTATGATATGAGGATTACACAAGAAAAGATGCACTGAATGTATCAACAATCGTGTGCAACAATGATCGCATTACAGTAACATTACTACAAGTGTACAAATATATTTTCCAGAATACTCATTCTTATCATTAAATTATCTTTCGATATAACGCAATCTAGACCCTATCACATCTTTTGTTTGATATCCCTGTTTAGGTAAGAGCGGTCGTTCAATGAGCAAGGGGAAGCTGTTTGCTACACAACAATAAATGATGCCACTAAAAATATGCCGTGTTGATAATGTGCGATACCATTGCTCAACGTCCTTCTGTATTAGTGTTATTTAAATAACCCAAGACTTTATTATTTTAGTGAACTATGAGTGTACGAGAAAGGAAGAGCAATTTAAAATGGCTAGTTGGATACAATAAACAAGTTGAAATCTTTCATACAATGGCTGCCGTAATTACAACAAACCTCTACACCTGGCCCCGGTTTTGTTAAACGGCCCTATTCAGAAACAGTTTTTTATACCGGTCGATTACAATAAATGAGACGAAGTGAACTTGCTACCCAACGACGTTTGTTTTTCTGATACATAATTTTATGTTTCTTTAAGGTTTCTATTTACGAATTCTCTCACTACAAACTGGTGAGTGCTGATGAATGTGTTATTATTACATGTTTCCACTAAGCTCTATATTTACATTCATTTCTGTCGCATAATTGTGTAATATACTGTACATATTAATATATTAATATAGTTTTCCTACATGTGATCTCTTTCACATTCCTAGATGGCTTCCAAACGTCATAAAAGTTCCTCCTCGCATGGTAATTTAAAGAGGCAGAATTCAACAACTTCATTTCCACAACATTGATTTCCTCAATAGCTCAGCATATTACAGCTGAAACAAAAACTGACCCTCTGGTGGATGACCTGCTACAAATTATTGGTCTAAATGGATAGCCTACATGGATTGAGTAATTATAGAGGTTTTTTTTATATATTGTAATGTGCACTTCAAAACTTAGAAATCACCCACTGTTGAGATGGTTCATTGAAGACCAACCTTGTGTCGCAGCAGACCCAGAGTTCGTCATTAATAATAATAAAAGATCAACAACAATGCATGAAGACTGGATGTGCATATACCATTACCATTACCATATCCTTCTGAATTTAAGCACCACGGCCAACCAAACTTTATATTTAAGCAGAAAACTTGAAAAACAAAAATAAAAATAAGCACTACCCAAAATTTTATGCAAAAATTTTTATTATATTTTTTTATTTTCTTCTAATTCATCAGCTGAATCGCTATTTTAATCTATATCTACAATTTTAAATTTTTCTTTCATTTTCATCCAAATAATAATAAATAATAATCATCTTCTGACCCATCCATGCATTACTAATACCACACTTTTAAATAATCACTTTTGGAAATTTCCACCCAAGCCTCAAGAATCCATTTACACATAATGTTATATTCTGGCTTTCTTAAATTTTCACCTTAGAATAAGTAAATTAACCTGAATTCATCCAAATATTCCATTTTTCTTGGAGACTATCTTTAAATGGCTTGTTTATACAAACATCAAGTGGTTGAACAATAGAAATAAGACCACTGAGAATGATTGCCAGATCAGCATTATCACTTTATTAGTACAACATTTTTAATAGAATTTGTTTTATGGCCTTCAAAACTATCCATAACAAGAAGAGTTTTTTTTATTGATCGATTTCCTCCAGGTCTATTTTTGCACACTGTATTAAACCAGACTTTCATTCCAGATTATCCATCCATTCTTTTGGATGCATTAATACAATAATTTCAGAAGGTAATTTTTTTACCTTTAAAAATAACAATTGGTGATAACTTTGTACATCTGCAAAAACTGTAGAACACATGTAAAGCAAAATTTTTCATCAAGGCAAAGGTTTACTACAGTAACAAGAAAAGTAAATCCTGTTGACAGACAGCGATGAACGCAGGGGTCTAACACCATACAACAAGGCAGAGGTGTTGTTGTAATGAATTAAATTCTACCAAGAGACTACGACAAACACAGGGGCCCAACGTTCAACAAGGCAGGGGTCATACTAGTGTGTCACTTCACCTCTTGGCCTGTCAACTGACTTGTATAAAAATACCTGCCCTCAGATTTGTGATTGCTCGTCGTGCCGCCTCCACTTTGTTTCCACTTTCATTCATAAATTTCTTAATGAAGGAATAAAAGAGACTGTGTTCGTCTGCCTTATCTGAGAAGTCCGGAAGTTACGACCTTCACTCTAAGCATCCAAGCAGAGACCATTCAGACGCGTCTCTTGTGTTAAATACTCCAATTTTTCCTAAATTGGCTTATAAGATAAGACAAAATATTATGCCATGTACGCTTCTAGAAAATAAGAGGTAACATTTCTTAAAAACTCACAAAGTGCAAACAATGAATGAACTCACGGACGATGAGCAAAATGGGATAAAGAACGTGGAAAACTGTTGTTGATGGAACTCGTAAATTGGTCAATGATATAGAAGTACAGTATATACTAATCCTCGAACATTGACTGACCATAATCAAAATACCCGATATCTAGCATGAATTGTAAATCGTATATTACAGACTATTTTATTTTTATTTTGAAATAAACAAAATTTTTGAGTTTTACTACGATCGAAACAAGGTATCAACTGAATTATACAAAATCAATTGAATAATATATCTTTTGTATTATTAAGGGCCGTTTTACCGTCGCGACTGCATGATTATAAACAGCCCACTGAGTGTCAGGCTGACCTCAGCACTGCAGCGGGCGACCTTGAGCTTCGACCACTCTCTAACCCATAAAAGGCAGGGTTTCAACACGTCAATGCAGTCTCTACGCCAAGACTTGTTATGATTCTCTTCTTTCTTTCTAACTGCGGTTGCATATGGCATATGAAGGCAAATAACGATAAAATCAAGAAACTGCTCTACCATTGCTTGAACGAAAATAAAAGTCAATTCACAGTAACGTTTTTTGGTGAGATAGAAAAAGCAGGTAAAGAAGCTAAAGACGGGATTGGTGAACCAACTGATAGAACCGGCAATAGTGAGTTTAAAGATGTAAACTTCGTTAGTCGTCTCATTTGTTAAATAGTTCTCAACTTTCTCACTAATTTGTCTGTCCTATACAGCGTGTAAAGCCAATTACATAATTGATCATGATCATAACTTTCAGCATATTAATACCTCATTATATTTATTAATAATATTTAACATGGTATTCTTTCTCTGTTGTTCTCAGTAACGGATTCACATCGGCGCCTCGTTGATTTTATTAAATCAATTAGAACGGTTTCCGGATTAACATTCCAAAGTTTTCAATAAGGATTTAAATCAGGACTGTTGGCTGGCCAGTCCATAAGATTAAAAACGGTTTAGGATAATTTTCTGGGGATTGTCAAAACGTGACTTTTGTATCACCAAATCTGGAATTCCTGGTGTATCAAAAACGAAACTTTTGCATTAGTAGCACTGTGAAAAAATACTGAACACTTTTGTTGTTCCTTGCGATACCTATTGTCGGTAACGGGTATAATTACTTCGGTAAACCGTTCGTTTCCCCGACAGCTATTTCCCGAAAATAAGTCCGGTGAGCAATTAAGAACCGTACCCGGTTAATGTTTCCGGTATCTGTGTTATATCCTTCGCTCGTAAATATTAACCCGTTTTTTCCCTCCATTCTATTCTTTGTGTTCTCAGAACTAGTGGCTAGCCTTCATATAAAAATTTTTTCTACCCATTCGCTGGCCAGCTTTCCGTTCAGGACTAACTTTGGTTTGGTAAATTAACCGAACAGTTCCTACCGCTATTTTAGAAGAGCGTGAGTTTTAGATCGATTTCGATCAATTGCGATTTTCAAATCGTAGCAATAATACATAATAACGCTTCTAGTCACTTACTACATGTAATAGCAACATTTTCACGCGTCAGTCGATAAGTCTAAATAGCAGAATTCTTAGACACTTTGAAAGAATCGTACTCCGTTTACAAGTAAATATTAAAAATGTTTATTTAACTGTTTCAACATAAATGAAACAAAAGTCATAAAATAGAAAGGCGTATTGAGATGCTTTTGTTGTCTTCCTAAATTTAATCAGATGGGGAAAATGTCGGAAAATTGGTCAAGGCAGCTCGTATCGCTTGAAAGACTCAAGTTTTCGTTGGTTGCAAAGTTCATTTTGCGTTGTCGCATTCGGAATCAAGCAGGTCCTAATTAAAGTGTTTTCCTACAACAACTCGGCATGTAGCAAATGTCCATACGTCTATTTGTCATAATCACCTGAACCGCAAATTTACGCCCTGTTGCTAAACGAAAGCCCGAAATCTGACGATTACAGACAAATATTATTTGAATATAAATAATATTTCGGTTAGTTTACTCTGTGTGTGCTTCTCAAATGATATATCATAGTGTATTTATTATTCATATGTTATATGAACTGTTATTAACGATAATAGGCGTAAGGCAATTGGTGTCCAATGGTTGGCGTAAAACTGTTACATTGCGTACACGATTAAAACTCATCGTTTTCAAGGAATCACAACATATTTTGTTCCAAGGATTGTTGAATCTCTTTGTTTATGGAAACAACTTTATTATGATGGTGGGAGTGGAATTGATGGCTGAACGAAAGTCAACAATACAGCCAAGTCAATGTAAACAGTTCACCGGTCAAACCCATTGGGTCTCGCTTATGCATGTTTTAACCCGATATTCAGTGTTAGACTTTTCAAGTTTAAGCGTCTGAAATAATAGGTCGCTATCACTTACGATGTTTATCTTGCGCAACGGTTACAACACAGGTGATGCATGCAAAGTTTATGTCTACCAATCAGACTATTATGGTGTAATGCTTGTATTTAACATTTTGCCAAACTACGCTATAAATGTCGTATGTGTCACTTGTACCTTTTTCTTGTTGTACGGAAACAGTTGTATACCGTTGATAATGTTGTGTTAGTGTTTGGGGCATATGTCTGCCAAGGCATATGTCCGAGAATAGTTAGACTTGTCTAACAGAAGTTCAATACTGTCCAGTTAATTATGAAAGAGCAATAAGATGAAGGAAACACCAACCCAATTGTTCGAGTGAATTAATGATAACAAATGCTAAAAATTACAATTATTGTTCACTCGGAAAAAAGTAATTCCCATCAAAGAGCACTATTTTTTATAGAGCAGAGAACGGATATACGTATAAACGTAGAACATCTTCTTGGCGAACGTAACTATCAGTAGACAAGATTTTGCAGCTTGACCAGTCCCTTTGATAAGAGAGTTGTATGATGAATACAAGGAAACATTAAACGTGTAACAAGTAACCATTAACTTTAAACGTGATCAATCACAAGCTCTGCATACCTTTTTTGTATTACTTCAACTCTGATTGACATTGTTATGCAAGCAAAACTGATATTCAAAAAAGTAAAGTTTGTCTACATGTGGGATCATTTCCAAATCAGACCCTACGGAGAAATAATATTCATTATTGTTGATACATTATTCGAAAAAAGTCTTTTTAATTGGAAAAAGTCAACCAATCATGGTTTAGTCAAGAACCACGCACATTCGACTATCCAATTTAACAGTATCAATGGAACGTAAAAAAATAAAGTAAAATAAAAAATAAGATTTGTACATGTGTGTCATTGTAAAAGCATGAAAACTCATGTCAGTATGTGCTGGCTTACGTTAATCCATTCCTATCGCATGACTTGAATTATACGACAGAAGGCTACGATTCTCTGTTGTACATCAGATGTCTAAAGATAACATGTTCGATCATTTAAGAGCGTGGGTCAATCGCAAACATGACATTCTCAAATTTACTTTTTCTAGGAATGACCCTGCATAAAACGTGGATTATTCTTTTACTTATACAGAAGATATAAACAAGCAAATTGCGCATGTGGTTTTTGTGTATAAAACAACAAGTTTGCCATTTTGGAAAACATACAAAACTTTAAAGATTTATCTAATTTGGAATGACGTTATTAATTCCAATGTTTCCGTCATTTAACAATGGCCTCGACCGCCAGATAAATTCACCTTATCAGTCTTTCACGTGGCACTGGAAACCAATTTAGGACGCTGGCAATAAAACCAATATACAGTCAATTGGTCATTAGTTCTGTTTGTATGTTGTTTTATTTTGTTTTAAGCATGCGTGGTTAACGTAATTTTGATTGTGCCACTAGTCGAACGAGTCATTGTCAAGGATAGATTGCAGTAGATAACGTACCGGGCACCGGGAGGGATTAGATGAGATAAAGAAATTATAATACGATGGCTTTTTGAAAGATAAGATAGAGAATTGCACGGGAATTAAGTTCGTACATGCATGCATAGATTCATCGTAAGAGTGACAGCAAAAATTGGCAGATGTTGATGATATGTTCAGGTTAGCAGTCGTATATGAAAAAGGAGGTGAATAAAGTAACAGTGTTGTCTGGTTTTATGAACTTTGCACAAATATATTTGACATTTATTAATTTACTATAGACAGCTTTTTTATCGTGACACTATCGAATCGTTGTGCAGCATATTGGCGTGTCTTGATACGTTGGGGATATTCCATTTCCTTAATACGGTCTCACACTATTGATATTTCACATTCCTTGTATGCTCTTTTTGTATTACGCTTAAATTTATAGGTTACATAACGAATAATAAGTTTCTCGTTATAGATAGCAATATGCATCCGGTATCTCCCATAATTGAATCAAGATAAGGGGTGAGGGGAAGGAAACCTTGTTGAGAACAATAAGAATGACCAGAATTAGAATGAGAATGCCATATGCATAATCGATCGAATGTTATTCTATCGCTATGTCGATCGAAAGTTATTTATTAGTTTATCTCGTTGTGTTTGTCGAACCGAGTATTGAGGTCTATCGCGATGCTCAACTCGAATTGAAAGTAAAAGACTTGTTCGCATTTTTATTTGTAATTTGAGCGTTATCGAATTTGACCCAAGGCAATTGCCAGCACTCATTATCAATGATTCTTCGTTCTAATCAACGTTGTACAAATTCTCATTCATTCTGAATTGGGGGTGAATTTTTGAGTATTCATTGTTAATACTTCTATTATCGATTGGGTAAACTACCTGCATTATATTTGTATACCAACCCGAATCAGAATGTTTCATGGGCCTCTGGGCAAATCAACAGACATTATGATCACGTGGTGATAAGATGTGCATTGTTTCACAATTGATATATATGATAAACCATTTATATACTAGAAATTTATTCTATTTTTTGAGTGGGCAGAATACATATTCGGTGTGTATTTGCACAAACAGCCGCGCACAACAAATGGAAGAAATACCATTTATTTGGGACGCACTATTTAACCAATAGAGGCAATATGTAGTCCAATCTAAATAATTAGCAGACCGAACAAATATATGTAACAATAAACAAAATTAGTTTCTGCAGCCAATTGGTCATGCGAATTAATGACATCCTGCAAGGATTGCTTCTTCCTGATGGGCCTTTAATTAGACATCATTTAATTTAATAAGAATGTTCTTGGTGCAAAAAGAACAACACACAACCCCGCAAACATACAGTCAAGCATGTTATGCGTTTCCGTTTTTCGAATCAAACATAGAGTTCGCCCACTTGGTGGACCAGTTCCCATAACATCATCTTGACGTACTTTCCGTGTCACTTATAAAACTTTCACCGATCCAATCACTCTTCGTCTTACTCCCTTTAATAAGCAGAATGACACGTTGAGACTATAACCCGAGTCTTGGCTATTGACCTGGAAGAATTTGTTTGTATGGTTTTTTATTGTATGCAAATTAATGCAATGCGCATCATATTTGAATTTAAAACGGCAAGGGCGGTCAAATTGCAAGATGCGGCCGATAAAGTAAGTAATATAGCATAAGTCGAAGCAACAAGTAAAGTAAATAGCTGTTTGATTAACATTCCACATGGGTGTTGAATTAACATTTTCGTATGAGCGTTGAATCAACATTGTTATTGTCATTGTTGTCGTTAATGTCGCAATATAAAGCTGTTTTTTTTTTCTGACATGTAAACGTACGAGAGATTAGTAATAATGAGTCCTAAAAAAGTTAGTTGGTTACAATCAAAATGGCAATTATTTGATATTGTGTCAAGGCCAAATTTTTTCGCAATGGATCGAATACTTTTTTACGCCCATACACAAACATGTTAACCCTAACCTTATGCATTCAAGTATTGTAAAACATTACATATATACATGTTGTATATATATATATCCACTCTTATCAGGTATGATACCCAAAAGAGAGATATTTTTCTCGCTGAGAATCAATTCCTGATTAGGTTGTCAGATAATAAGATAGCAGACACTCCTTGAAATAAAATTCCTCCCCGTCCCCCACCACTCATTCAAAATATACCAGACGCAATATTACTTGTAACAAATAAAAATAATCGACAACGCTTTTCCTTGTCTCTACACGTAATTACCCTTTCTAGAATAGATAGACTCATCGAGTATATCGGGTCAAACTTATAATAAGTTGATGTTTTAACGTTAACGCTGAAAGGGAAAAAAAAAGTATATAAACAGAGAAAGCAACGACTTACCCGACCAAATAATAGTAATAATAATAATCTTGCGGTTACGGATTAAATCTCATTCCATTCTCTTCTCATCCAATCTATCCTAATATCCACAATGGCCGATAACATGTCAATTATGAGCAACCATGTTCCAATGCAATCCGCAGTAAGCTCGCAGGCTGGTTCTCCGGTTCTCTCTCCCCGAAATCGTCCACCCACTAGCTCGTATCTCAAACGACACAAGAGCGTCAAATTTGCATATTTATCCGGCGAAACCTCTTTCCAAAAGGGTATCCTTGGAGATTCCGAAACTTCTCTGGTCGGTATCCTCGAAATTAACTATTCTCAACCACGCCATGTAAAAAGTATCCTCCTCAACCTAAGAGGAGTAGAAAAAACCATTTGGTACAAGGCTCAGGCGCGCACAAAATCCATGCATCTTGGCGAACAAGTTCTCGTCGATCAAACGTACAAAATATGGGAAGAATCGGATGACAAACTTGTCAAAAGTATAGACGTTCCGTTCAGAGTCAAATTGCCGTATAATCTCCCCGAGTCGGTTACGTCTGAAATAGGCACGGTATCATATGTGCTCAAAGCTACCATCACTCGCAAAGGAGGGCTAACAACAAACAATACGCAAATCGTCGAAATAGTCTGCCCCTTGAAACGCACCCTCGTATTGGATAACCAGAACAGTCCCCCATTCAAATTACGCGGAGAATCACGCAATGGTTTGGATTATACGTTCGTATTACCTCCTAACAAACAGCTCAACTTGGGAACATATGTGACCGTTCCAATGAGGATTAGGTTCCTGAAACCGGGAATCAGCGTGGAAAGAGTAGAGATTGTCTTAAAGACATGCATGGACTTTCGCTGCAGTAATCCAAGCGAAACCCGTCATTGTAAAGAACAAGCGGCCGCACTGGTAATTCCCAGACAAGAAATGCATTATCTTCAGCCGGTATCCAATCAATACGAAGGCGAATGCGTCCACACCATCAACCTGTTCATTCCGAGGAGCGTTCAACCTACATATTCCGGACGATTCATTTCGATCACCCACCAACTGTGCATCAAGTTTTGCTTGTGGGGTGCGGATTCAGACGTCAGCGTCGAAGAGAGCGTTCGAGTGGCGAATATTGTGGAGAAACACCGGACAGATATTCCACAGTCGGCTCAACCGCCGCCATTACCAAAGTCGCCCCGCATTCCCGCTCAAGCGCATTCTCAAATGGTATCGCAAGCGTTGATGTATCAGAGTCCGCGAACCTATCTCAACGTTGGCGGTGTGAACAGCGTCGTTGGTATGAACAATGTTCCGGGCGTGAACAACCATCAGTATTCTTATGTCGAGCAACAATCGGTCGTGGATAGCGATGAATTCCATAATAAGCCGGAAAGGTATTTTTCCGTATATAGTGATCAAGATTCACCGAGGTCCCGTAGGCCATCTGCTGTTTCGAATGAGACGTCGTCCCCACCGCCGCCGTTCCCATATGACGGGTACGTTAGCGATGTGAAGAATTGGTATTTGGGATTTTTTTATTACATTTGTATACTGATTCAGTCTTTTGAACTCTATGTATATAAAAAAAAAAGCTACGGGTCGCGCTTCTGAATGATGAAGTTTTTTTTTTTCATTAACGCATATGAACACCCCACCAACATCCGTCTTTCCTTATCATTCCTTCTCCCCTTCCCCCTACCTTCATTTTAACCCATAGGCTTGTTGCTGCACCAAAGGCACCTACAGTACCCCCACCGATGCCACCACAAATGAAAGTACCGCATTCGCCCAGGGTTGGTCCTAGAAATGTTCCTAGGTCTGGTACACCTCTGCCAAAGCACGCACCTTCCTTGCCATCATATATGACCACATTTTCGCCTCCGCCTTACCAGCAGCCTCCTCCACCGGGTCATCATTATATGGACGAAGTGTCATATGTTTATGACTTTACTGAATAGGGGTTCCTCTCTTAATTTTTCCTTCTTGTATAAATATATAAATCTCTTTTTGAAAAAAAATTATATAATGTTTTCCCCCCCTCTTTCTTTTTTCTTTCTTTTGTTTTCTTTGTTTACGTTTTTTCTTCATTTTGTCCTTGGTTCCCTTACTCCTAAATCCTCTATCCGCCCACTTTATTCCATTGAGTTTTACTTTCATCTCACCTTTCTCTTCCTTATTCTCTAATCTGATCAAAGTGAAAGCATATCAAATGTTAAGACACAGTCAACGACACTCATTACGAAAGGAGAAGGCAAGACATTTTTACGCAACCATGGATTAAAGATTCATTTGGTTTATGCAGTCTTGGCCGTTTTAGTACAAAGTTTAGTATACACACGTTTTGAACTGTTTTTAATGTGATATTTGGTAAATGCAGTATTAAAAAAAAAAAGGGATGGATGGTCTTCTTTTTTCTTCTTTTTAAACATTACAATTTAAATCTAAAATTTTTTCACAAATCATTGTTGTACATAATTGGCATTCCTCTCGTCTGTAAAATCCATTCCTTTTTTTTCTTCTTTTCCTTACATTCTTTTTCTTTTCCTTTCTCTTTCTTCTCCCATTTTTTCATCATTCTTATTTCTCATTGACTACCTGTCCAATCATTTCGCTGTATCCCTTATCTCTGGCGAATATCCAACTCAAGTCTAATTCAAACGTGCAGTGAATGACAAATGCGATTCAACAAATGACGAATCAACAAGTGACGAATCAACAAATGACGAATCAGGCAGCATGATAACTATGCATTTGGAATCAAGTTGCGAGAGGAGATTGATGAAATGCTGTTGAAATGGACGATAGTAATAGCACGACGGGTCTTGTTGCTGGACATGTACGAGATTGGGATCACGGATGGAATGGAGCTGGTATCGAGAGAAAAAGAGAAAAGGATGATATATATATAATGCCTGCGAATGTGAACGTTTTGAACGAAGAAAAAGGGTGGGTTTAGTTTAATATAAAATTGCAGAGGATAGAGTTAGATGACAAACAATAGTAAAGTAATTAGCATGTTGATTTTTGGAGTTTTTTTTTTTACAGTATAATTGTGAATAGTCATTAGTAAATACCTAAGTTATTGTCGATACATTCTCATTTCTGTGTTTAATTTGAGTCGATCCACTCATCTGGCATGAAGATCTTTGATACGGAATAAACATTTTCATGTGTATTGTCAATCAAGATAAATACCTTTGCCAAAACCGTGTGACTATCAGTTTATAATTGTTTGTTGAACAATCTGACAAGTTGTCCACGATTGATGATTAGATTATCCGTCTGCTGCTCTATAGAGTGTTACATAAAAATATCTCGGAGTTTTATCAAATTCAGGAAATCAGTACCAGTACCAGTACTAGTACTAATGCTACGCTAGTACACTAGTAACACTGTGCAAATGGCTTATGTAATTTATGCATTAGGTCGGATAACTCGGATCAAAGAGAATCAATCAATCACATCGTCAATTATTTCAAACGAAAATTAGTCGCACTCGTATATTAGATTTATAACTAATGTAACATACAAAACTTATTGCGGATACACACTGCAAATGAAAGAGTCATTAATCTGATGCAAGGTATGCCTTATCTGAATATATGCTTTCAAACGCCAACGTTAGCTATAGCTATGGGTATGTCTTGCTTGCCCTAGTCGCCAAGAGCTCGTTTTGCGTGAAATTTTGCAAAACATGGATATCTTCTAGATTGGCCAATTGATTTTGCTTAACTCGTAGATATTGACTTTAAAGACTTGTTTGACGGACAAATGAACCGAGACATTGTAAACGAGATTTTATTTTCAGAGGATACTTGCAAACTTGGCAACGCGGGTTGAAGCACAAAAAGTCTGTTTGCAATTTTGGTAAGAGTGGGCGAGTCAAAACATTTATAAAGCTTAGAAAAAAGTCTATTGAATAAACGGATAGCTTCTTATGTGTGCTAAACAATTGCATCGAGACTCTTGATTTTATGCTTTGCAAAATATCCACGTCTTTTTTTTTTTATAAGAATTTATGAGCATAGAGATTATTTTACATGAAATTGTACTAAACTTTTAAAAAATAAATATGCTTTTTAAAATCGGTCGGCAATTAGATACTACAAATCACGTTTTTAACTTTCTAATGCATGCTGACGAGCAGATACGTAGAAATTACAGCCACAAGGGTTATAACAAGCATTTGGTTAACATAAATCATAATGGATTTACCAATGTTCTAGACATGCACTATCAACCAACACAATGGCAAGCCTGATATTGCTTGTACGTATAATGTATCAACATCGATTACCATTACATGGCATCCTTTCGTTATTCTACGCGCCAACAAAAGCAAATCGTATAGCGATAGCAAATTTTGATATCTGCTGCGCACATGACGCGTGGCACCAAACATCAAGGCATGGCACGGCAATTTCCATATTTATCCTCTTCATTCTCGATGAAGTGTCCCAGCACGATTTCCGTTGACTTTCGCACCATTTAAAAAAAACACACGTATAAATTACACGTTTCCAGGTATGTGCATACTAAACACCGACGCGTCATAACAACAAATCTCTTTCCATTACAAAAAAATGACGAAAGCCTTGGTATTCACTCCCACTTTCGCTTGCACTAACTCGCGTTTACCTCCTTTATCTACTTCATGGCTTTTCGAACACAAAGCACAAAGGGACGTTACCATCAACCGTTGGTTGAAATCCCAATCCTCCAGATGTCACATATTCCGAACCTTCCAAATAAAAGTAGGCAGACCAATAAACTCACAGAATGGCTCATCCAAAAACCGACCCAGGAAAGTTCGGACGAGGATAGAATAGAAGTAAGAATAGAAGTTCCTAAAGAGACTCCAAAGATCACGACAAAGCGTAGTAGGCGACCTAAAACAGCAGGATCAAGATCGAATACTCGCTCTGACGTTACTGGTTTAACTACTCAAGAGAACACAGAATTAACTTCTGTGCCAAGATCTCAACAAAATCTGTACGATGCTAATTTAGCTGCTGTAAACAACGCAATCTCTGAAGCATCCTCTACCGAGTTTTCTGAACGCAACCCGATCGTCATTTCAGACTCGTCAGAAACCCCATCGGCTTCGTCTTCGGAAGATGAGACGGTGCGCGTCGTGATAAATACTGAAGTACCTCGAGTTACTACCGCGGTCACTAGACGCTTTAGTATCGTTCGCCAACCGGCAGGGCAAGAGAGATCCAGAGGGAGAGGTGGAGGTAGAGGTAGTAGAAAGAGAAGGAATTCTACAATGCATAATGAAGTAAATAATAAAGTGCGTCGGAACACGATTGCTAGCTTTTTTAAGAAAATTAGTAGGCAGTCTGATGGTGGCGATGAGAGCGCTAGGACTGTCAGTGAGGAAGCGTCGAGCAGCAACTCATCGCCTAAAGAATCGTCGCCGCTTGGCGCAGAATCACGCGTCTTAACTGAGATTCTGGATACTCAACACAACGTCGGTCTTTTTATTGTTTAAAATGTCGGATCGTGTTGATTGCTTTCGTTTGTTTTTTTTTTTTTTTTTTTAACTTTATTTCTTATCGATTTACAGAGTGTATCTTCTCGTAAACCTGGTCGACCGCGTATAGTCGTTCCTATTGACGATCTCGATCCACGCGTTTTGGAATCAAGCAAACCACTCAACTTGAAGAGTTTGGACGAGATACCGCATGTTGATATGAACGTTGTTGTGAATATATTCCAGGTTTTCGATTTCTTTGTCAAGTTTGAAAATGTCATCGGCGTCACTCTTGTCAACAGCAGCGGTGCTCGATTAACTTATGGTAGAATTAAATAACATCTTGATCAGAAATTGTCATAGGAGAAATATAGAATAGTAAAATTGTAATCGTAGCTGTAATAATTATTTAATTTTAGAGCTATTCAATACTTCATTGTATTTTTTTTTACACTATTTACATCTACACATTTTTACGAATTTCAACCATCATTCTTACAGTCTTTTTTTTTTCTATTCACTCCACAGATGACCTTGAAGAAATGGCACTAGATCGAAATCACTGTCACACTCGTCTCTTTCTTCTTGTTTGTGAATTCCTTGACTACTTGATGGATGACTGTGATGAAAAATCGAAATTCTTTCCCGATCTTCTTACCGTCCAACATCGACTTTCTCGTCTCCTTTCCTCTCGCGTCTTCCTTCGGTCCACAGAATATATATATTTTCCTCCGCACGAGAGATTAACGTTGTTGAAAGATATGATTAACCAGGCAATGCGCACTGATCCAGCAAGAGAACAAATAAAAGAGTGGTGTGACAAATTGAACGATTGCGCTAAGCAGAAAAAGCTAAGACACGTTACTATTGAGAATCTCCAGAATGAGATACCGGAATTAAAAGCCAAGGTCAAATTATTAGAGAAGGAGATTAAGGAAATTGAAGTACAATTAAAAAACCATCACAGCGGCATTGACACAGAATCGGATGATGCACGGTCAGAAGAGTCTGCAAGCGGAGTAACGGCAAGACAAAGAGCAGTTGCCAGAGCACAAGCCGCTAGAGATGCTGAAGAAGCTTTACGAGTCAAGAGAATTCGTGCCGCCGAAGAAGCTGAATCATTCGAACGTCTGATTGGTATCAAGCAACTGGAATACGATAATCTTGTGTCACTCAATACTACTGAACGCGAAGATTTGAAAAACAGTCTGGTTGGTGGATCTGTTATAAGAGCTGCTGGAAATTCTGCTAATCATGAGCTGTATCAATTTGCTCAATTAGGTCAGGACAGATATTGTCGTAACTATTGGTTCTATCGTCCGATAGGAGGTATTTTTGTCGAAGATGTAGAGTGGTATAGATCATATAATAAGGAAAGAATGGATAGTAATGGGAAAGCAGCCGAGAATGGAGAATCATCAGACGAACAACTGAAACGACAGTCTAGATGGTGGGTAATTGATTCGATTGAAGCATATCGAGCATTCAAGAATTCTCTTAATCCGCGTGGAGTGCGTGAGCGAGCTCTTGAGGCTAGCTTGAAAAAAATTGAAGACGAAATTATAGAAAGTTTTAAACGTCTCAATGAATGGATGGAAAGACGATTGAATGATACCAAGGAAATTCAGCAGGAGAATGTAGAAAGAGATGTTGTGAAGAAGGCTCTACAACGTGACGGAGACATTCATAAGATAGTTGCTAGAATAGTTAGGGATATGAGTACACTGACAGTTTGTGAATATGAATGTATTATGTGTGAAGCTATTAGACGTAAGTTGAAGGTTTTCGAGGCTTGTCTGGTAGAAATGAGACCTGACTTCGTCATTGAGCAAGCGGACTTTGATTTGAATAGTTGTTCTAAACCCGAGAAATTCTTCGAATATATAAAAAAGTTGATATCTTCAACCGGCATTGTTATGTCTGAACCTACAAATGATGAAGAAGAGCCAACATCAGCAAAGACTGCGACTAGCAGTAACGAAGAGCAATTATCTAATGATCAGTCACCTTCATCCTCATTTAAATGGTTAGCCATTGCATCATCTCGATGGTATTGGTCAGATATACGAACGTTTTCCAGTGTGTGTGTGATGTTGGACGAGTTAATAGAGGCACATGACATTGCTGTTAAAGCGAATGCAAAGCTGAAGAAAGCAAATAAATCATTATCGCGGGGATTGTCTAAGAAGAGCAACGACACTACTGACGCCGAAGATGAGGATACAGATGGTACAATTGAAGAGGGAAGAAGTCACGGGAGGGGGGGAAAGGACATTGTGAAGGTTAGTAAAGATGAATATTACGTGAAACGCAGTGAGGTTGACTACAATAGATTATTTCACATTGTTCGTTTTTCTATAGTTACGGTCATCTAGGCGATTGCAAGACAAGCCAAAGATTAATTATGACGAAAGTTCAATTAATAAAGGTGGTGGTGATGAAAGCTTGAACGTTACCATTTCTAAATATCAGGTTCGTGTTTATACTTGTACTTTAATATGGTTGTTGTTTGTTTGTTTGAAGATGGTTCCACTTTAAAATCTTATTATGTTCGTCCTTTAGACACGCTCTGCATCTCGACTTCGCCCAGATCAGGTTGGCAATCAATCTAGCTCTTTTCTTTTTTTTACTACAACGATAAATATTTCTAATCGCGATTGTATTACAGACATTGATTCAGGATGAAATGACGGGGCCAGTAACGGTAAGCGAACACAATAAAATAAATTGGCAATATCACAACGACGGAAGACTAATCGTCAGCATTGCTATTGTAGCGTTCCAAGAGACGCCGGACCTGACCAACATTACCATGATGCTTAGACGCACTTCGTATTTGAACGTAATAATAGTCATCTGCGAATATTCTTAAAAGTAATTCCTGATGGCTTTGTATATATTTATACAATGGAATATTATAATCCAACTACTTAGACTTTGTTGAACTTGTAGATGAACACAACATTAAAAAAATAACAACAGATAACAAGATTTGCCGTGTTTGCTGTATCAATGTATTGTTTCTCTTGGATGCCTCACTAATTTTGCACTGTAGGTATTCATACAGCTATAACTAATTACTAGCGGACATGCAAAAATAAATTTTGTCGTCTCCCCATTGGTTATTTATGTGCGATGCATGATTGATACCACCATATGTGATTGACAAATTAGACGAGTTTGCGGTTTTTTATTTTCGGACGGCGCCGTCCAAAACGACAACACACATTTCATAGTTTGCTGGGATCAAACGGAACAATCATTAAAAGTAATAAACCAGAGGATGAGACAAATGTATAATAAATAATAGGACGAGGTTGTAGTAAGCAGCAATTAACAACCAACTGCATTTTCTGCGGACAAGGACGGTTACGGTAACAATAGAATTCGTGCTCAATGACTAATTGGTCCATTTTAATATGCAGCTCATCGGATGAGTATTATATAAATACAACAGCATCCTTGTAATTAATTCTGACCATCTTGCATTCATAGACAGAAACGGAACAACATAATTTAAATTAGACATCGATATAGAGCATGCAATAGATTATATATAGACTACACCACAGAGAGACAAATCAATGCACGAGGTTGGTAACTATGGCTACAAAAGAACAACGACTGCCTATAACTATTAATATTAAGTTGATGCTTAGCTCACTGTCTATAAATCTATAAATACTCACGGTTCTCGCTCATCCTTTGATGATTTAGCAGACACAGTCTGAAATAATAAAAAAAAGTAACAAAATCAAAGTCTTCACATACTCTATCAAAAATGACACCGTTAACCCAACGACCGGTTTGCACGCCGATTCATTACATAAACGTAAGAAGTGAATCATTACCGGAACTTGCAGAGACTGAACGATGGACTCGACCGCAACCAAGGAGATGTAAAAGCTCAATAGCATCACCATTCCTCAAGTATCCCGACTTTCCAATTAAGATACAGTGTCCGCACTGTAGTCAGTTTGTAACTACCGATGTCAGATATCGCAATGGAGCGTGCACTTATTTGCTAGCATCAGGGCTGCTGGTAACAACGGTGATATTGTTTTGGGTGCCATTTTATCTCAAGGCAACAAAAGGTAAACAGAAAAACATGCTAGATCGGTATCAAACAATAAATGTGTGTTATTCCTGACGGGACTGTGCTAACGTCCAGCGTTCAATCTCATAGATGCAAAACACGTTTGTCCACATTGTTCCAATAATCTCGGAATAAAACATCGGCTTGGATAAAAAGATAATAATTCACTGTGTGAAAATAACGTTTTCTAGCTAATTTTTTACCTAATGTTAATATTAAAGTAAATTAGAATATATTAGTAATTTAATTAATTTTCTGTGTTCTGGGCTTTCCCACTTGAACTTTTTTTTTTTTTCATTTCGCTAAATACCGTCGTCGTCATTCACGGGAACTGTTAAAAGTCATGCGAATCAAACTAAAAAGAAAACGGCTTTTTAATTTGGAATCGCATAATTATGAAACACTTGTATGGGTAAACACACAAAGTCATTATGATTAAGGTTTCTTTTAAGATGAAGAATGTTTATAATACCACAGATCGTAATATAAAACATTGCTTTCAAAAATTAAATAACTGATATAAAGGGAAAGTGCAAACAAGGGATGTGAACGTTTATTTGCCAACTTTGTTACGAGGCTTGTAAGGCAATATGAACGCCAAGTTTTAATTCATTCCTTGAACGTAGATCATTGGGTAATATAAATAAACCAAGAAATGGAGAAGTGAAACATAAAGATTTATGTGATCGATGTCGCAGATCGAGGGAGGGAGAGTCAACCGTTTATGGATAACAACTGTCCTTTAATACCAAAAAACTGTGAAAGGGTTCTGTTTTCAACCCTGTTGCACGCAGATGGTTTACCATGTGAATCCCGTTTTTTCGGTTATCAGGTATGAAACTACTTGTTCCACGTGAATTTTGATGCGAAACGGTGTAACGCTTACTCAACGCCCAGCAACCAGTTTATTATTAATGTCTTTACGCATAAAAGTCTCTTTTCCGCAAGTCAAAGGTGGATTTCAAGCTTTGAGCAACAAACAACGTTGAACTAATAATAACAGAACCTCTGCCAACAACAAGATCATCTATCTCTCGTTTTATTAACATCTTTGAACAGTGAGTATTTCGGTGTCCAATCACATTGTAGAACCTAATAGATGGTATGCACCAAATAAGGCTATCAGGATGGGGTCATTCATTAGACAGTGTGTAACTGAATGTAAATAAATAATTCTTGAATTCGGATTTCATTTCTACTCTGCAAAGTTGACTTCACCGGTTGAAGATCGTTTTGTACGAACCGTTACCGCCTTTTGAAACATAAACATATTTGTAACCAGACGTGAATTACAATGTCTCGGCATCCGGCAACTGACACGAACGGAAACCAGCTTGCCGCATACAGAGTAAGTAGCTGTAAACTTTTCTTTGGAATCACATATTTAGGTTTTCGCTCAATATTTTGCATGAAAAAAAAAAGAGAACCTTCTATTGTTGCGTTTACAATTGTATATACCTGATGGATGTTCTCTCATGCCCTATTTGCATTTTTCACATTCTTTTCTAACTCAGTTGGTAAAAAAATATAAAACCTCTTCCACAGCGCAAGACCAATCACATGTACAGATATTTCATAGCATATCCGGGACCTCACCCGGCCCAATGTACTATCGAGAACTACTGGGGGTTGAGGGAAGCAACATGTACTGGTATAACGCTGCACTAGTTGCAATTCCAGAAGATTATAAAAAAGAATATAAGGAACGTGAGAATAAGGGAGAAGAAACAGAGACTGGTAGTAACTCAATTACACTCCCTCCCGTCGAATTGGCAGATGTCATTTGGGACATAGAGCCGATAAAATTGCGATACACCACATTCTTCAAAAAGCCCAAGAAACCCAAAGATTTCAGATTAACTTATTTGGCGACGGGGTCCGGATCGGATTTCTCGAGCATGTCCAGGAAAGAAAGTTCTTTGGGAGGTTATGTTGGTGAAGTAACAGTTCCGTTTGACAAGACGACGGTACAGCGTTATTGGTGGATTCCAACATCTTCGTCTAAATGGACGTTTACTGCACGAAACGACCCAACTACACCATTGGCAGAGATTTCTGCTACGTCCGACGCGGATGAATTCGATATTGTCTTTCTGCGCAGTCATCCGCCTGGATGGAGTCCCAAGATGGCCGAGAGATTGTCCCGATATAGTGGATTGTCAGGGGGGTCAGCCAGTGGGTTTCAGCCCGTATCGGAAACGGTAAAGGCAAACGGTGTAAGGGAGAGCATAGTATCATATATAGGATCGGGTCGAGATTTTACGGTCAATGAGGATAGCGGGAGTAAGTATTGGCAAGAATATGTGCTTGCAAGTACTGTAGTCGTGCTGCGAGAGGTTAACAAAGAAAAGAAGGGATTATAAGACGGGTGGTGGTGGCTGATTGATGACTTGGTCTGTAATATTTTTATTGTTATTGGAAATCCTTACTATTACATTAATGTATTGAATGGTTTAGTGCGCACTGTAAAAATAAATGTTATTTTCTTCTTGATGGGAGTGTTTACATAATTAGTAATCTGTTAAAATATCTTTTTTCAAATCTCATGTTACATATTTAAACTTCTTTCACTGTTCACTGTCGCTATTCGTCGTCGTTTGTCGATCGCTTAATAATAATGCATGTGTGTTAGACAAAAATGGTGCAACAAATGATATACATTATTCAACAGAGTCCGTGCCACATTTGCACATCTGATATTCATTTGTAATAACATGCGACTAGCACAAATTTCACTATTTGTAAAACCTTGCATATATTTGCTACCGAGACTTGTGCCCTTGGCTGGATGCACGATAATACGCATGGCATTCCAATTCGCAAGTTCCAAAGTAAATAGCACAGTTTGTGCGCTCTATCTTACGCATAATTGCACCAACAAAACCCTTTGCTAATGTTATTCTGTAATTCACGCGATTCGTTGGTTTGTCTACACTTGTCAACGATAAATGACAAAGTTTTTAATTGACCAATGTCGTCGCAAATGAGAACCACTCTCTACAAAGCGGTGTAGTGCTTACATTATGCATGAATTTAGTTGTATAAAAACTTAAAAAGAATTTTAACAAGGTTTTGGCAGACTTTAATCAAACGGCCTAGATATTAAGACAAGGGTTCAGAAATAAGTTATAGACTTTTGGCCAAATAGCAAACAATGAAAAAGTTGAAAACGCATGTATAACAATATCATTAAAAACAAGAGCAAAGAAGACTTTGTGTTTTTCAAAAAGAGTGCGCAATCAAGCTCTTTGAGTTGAAACTTTGTGTGATATACACAATCCAATTGTACTTGAAATCACAAATGTTGGTTTTTTTGGGATCTAATAGACGCTATGGTATCATGTTGTATACTGAATTGCTTAATTAAGCGCAGAGTTTCTTAACTTAATATCAACGACTTGGATGTTAGTTGACCTAATATACGAGTCATACCTATCCATTTATGCTTTACGAAAAGTTATTATTAATACGTTATTGAATACTGTAATGAGTAACTCGATATCATAAACGGATATCAATTGTGTGATAGTAAACACGTATAGAGAGCGTGCGATTCATAAATGATAAAAGAGATGTGTCACTGCCGATATTAGTATTACGATTAAGAGTATCTACTAACAAGATAATATCACATAACTCATCACCCAAATCTAACAGTTCTATGTATCCAAGTCACATTTATGTCTTTTCAGAATGTGTATGCTACTTGGTTTTTCAATATTGCGTAAACTCACTGTTGATATTGTTTTCACCCAGCCTTCTAACAGGTTATTCCAACAACAGACGTCTAGTATTAACAGTTTTAATCGACAAGATTAGAATTTCAAGTGTTCAAAGTCGGAGTAATTAGAATTATTGCCATACAGAATTGTTTTTAATCAAATATAATTTTATTCTTGAATCGTACAATGTTATAAAATTGAATACTACTTTTGGAATACTAATAGTTGATATATATTACTCATTTGATTCCTCTGTGGAATTGAAACTCGTTCGTTCCAGCTCGTCTATCTCGTGCCAGATATCTTGTAATAAACTAGCTACATTCTTAACATACGCCTGAAGCCTTAACCACGTATACACAAACGCTTTCAATGTATCTGAATTATCAGGTGGCGTCAAAAGTATTTCAAGAGTTTCCAAGACGCGTACCCGATGGTATGCTCCATAAGGTCTATCTAATATTGCAAATTTTACTTCATAACGATAGACTTGCATCAAGATGATGGGTATAGTACGTAACCTTGCCAGAATTCTCTCTCCACCTTCAATGTTGTGCAATCGATCGTTTATCGTCTTATTAACAACATTATGCGCATCTTTACACATATGTAGTAATCTTATCCAATCCGAGATAAATTTGGAAGCGTCCGCCGTAGGCGTGGAACACACTAGAAACAATATCTCCAACCATATCTTAGACTGTGCCGCATCTTCAGTAGGGGCCGCGTTGTTGAGACGCTCGAGAGAAATTACGGCACGCATATCGGCATCTTGACTTTTTTGGGGCTTTCTAAGATTTGCCCTAAAAACATTAAAAGTTAGTTGGTCAAATTCTTAAGAAATATGACAATATAATTATTATATTTACCATACTAGATTAAAAAGCCCCTCAACGTGATAACTTCGAAAGAGCCTTGAAATTATTTCAATAACGTATGTTCTCTTATTGTAATCCGCCACCTTATCCTGAGATGTGGCCCACATATTACGGCTATTAAAAAAAACTGTTAATAATTGCATGGTTATGTTATTCAAGAATAACATAAATAAAACTTACAAACTCTCTAAAAGTATGTGCGCCGCATAAACCTGCAATCTCTGATCAATAGACTCCCAGTCAGTGACCGGAATCGTAGGCGGGTCTATTAAATAAAGCGCACGAACTCTGGTCGCGACACTATAGTTATGCATTAATTCTTGACACATTGTGTCTACTGCCTCATAAATTTTAATGGATTTATACTCTTCAGGTGTATCATTGAGACAATAGACTGCGTCATTTTTCGCAATCATTTTCGACCAGATATTATCGGCTCCGCTCGTATCAAGCATTCCGAATGTGATGGGCCGTACAGAATTTACCATTTCTATATTCTCGAGTAATTCCTCAAGTGTTGCTTTGAACGTTTGAAGCGCGGCATATTCCGTCTTATTCGAAATAGTCGAGATAATTTGATTCTATCAATAAATATATGGATATTAATATTTGAACAAACGGTATTGCGTAAAAATAATGCATTGTTAAGATATCATCACTTACTAAATTATTTACAGTATTTCTTATGTTTTCCTGAATCTTTTCGCGCTCTATTCGATATTCAGACTGTGCTATTATCTAAAATAAAACAACATTATTAACAATCGATTAATTCGATACCATGAATTAAATTTACTAATACTGACCTCATTATACGAGCCGATAGCCCTTTCGTACACTTTAGCCAACTTCGACTAAAAACAAATATACAGGTCGTAAGAAAAGACATTTTTATTAATTAACAAGATAAGTAGTCACAGAGACTGTGTAAGATGTTTCAATGATAAACAATCCCTCTTACAAACGCAACTTGACCACAAAGGTACCGTTACAAAAATAAGGAATCCAGACAATTTTTTATCACTGATTCTAATTTATCGTTAAGGTTTATAAAATAAACGTAAAACTTACGGAACTCATAATGTTAAGATTCTGCTGATAGCCGGCAAACCTCTCATTTAATTTGCTGTCTTTAGTTGCCGTAATAGCATTTTTGATCTCTGAAAAATATTCAAGTTTTGCAGATGTTGGGCTCGTGAAATTGTTGCCGGTGAACAGTTGCCATAGAATCCACGCTTCAAAGGTGATAACTTCGCGAGCGTTGTTTACAAAGTAGTTGACAAACATTTTGGTACTTTTAATATAATGGAATTACTTTACAAATTAGTTTTTAGTATAGTAGTATAGTAGGATTGGTTTCACAAGTTAGTAAGATTTAACTTTTGGAAGAAGGAAGAGATGCGACCCTTTATATAAACACTAATTGCTGTATATTTGACCTTACGGCCGTTATGTGTCATGCATCGGCCGATTTTGTTCATTGTCGTACAAAGTAATACAACGAATCAGTAGTCGTCCTGTTGAATAATTGACGAATATATTAGTGGACAAAAGCGAGCAAGAAGTTGGACAAGATTCGTTTTCTAAGAAAATTGATCGAAGAACGTGAAACGTGGTTGTACAGATGCATAGTTTAAATTTTTTTTATTAGACGTGAAAACTATGTATGCCATTACGCGTTAAGGACGTTGTTGGAATTTTATTGATAATCTTTGTAAATCTCGATGCTATAACTCGAATAAGTTCAACGTATGGCAAAAGTTAGAGTTAAATTATGCCTATATTTTTTAGATATTGTTGCAAGATTTTTCATTGATATGTAGTTTGTAATAACATCAAATGTCCATCTTTAGCTTCTATGTAAAAAAATATTTTACAATATTATTCAAATTTGCATAACTATAGAATTCCATTATGTACTGTACAGTTGCTTTACAGGAAGAGTCAAAATTCTGATAAGCAGTGTGGAACAGAATTACGAAAACGTCAAAGACGTTCGTTCATTTTATGTGCCCAAGCTCTAGTGGAGTTAACTCATCAATGAAGTTATCGAATTATTTACATCACTTTCTTCCCCAATTATATGCAGGGGTTCTATGAGAGCTCTTCAATCAAGCGTTTGTGTACAAGTTATCTCTTGTTACCGTTCATCGATGAATGCTATACTTGGCGGTTTTGGTTGTGTTAAAGTTTTGATGATTACGGACTCGAACTTTTCCGTAAGAAATGAATTTATGTAAAAAGTCATACCACGTACATAAAGTAATTTTTGTACTGACCCCATAATTTTACAAAAGAGTGCAGTTTAACGGTTTTGATAGGTTAATATTTTTAGATTGGAGCTTTTCCGTGGTGTTTCGCTCCTTTTAAATAATTTGTTGCATGTACCACAGATAAAAATTGAATTGTACTGTTTTGGTATCTTGCTAGTCGATAACTTCCCATTTCTTCTTGTCAATTCTAACTCTAACTCTGACTTTTTTACCTTCTCGTGCTTTCTTGGTTCTGTTTCTTTTTTTGAAATCTTTGAGAACAAGAATCATAATTATTGATAAGAAATGAAACAGATCAAATAAATAGAAAGAGGAGGTATGACAAAAAGCTATATTAGCTATATACGTACTTTATGTCCCTAACGCCCGAGTCACAAAAGTTTTTTTCTTCGTAATGGTAATAAATGCATTCAAGAAAATCCTAAAGTAATCGACTTTTTCAACGTCCGTAGCACACGTTTGAAGAACGCTCTGCGCTTGTTTTTTTTTTTTTGAGCATTATGGCTACTGAGAAAAGACCACAAGATGGCTCTTTCCTCAGTGGTGAAGTTGAAGCAAGAGATTTCTGTGTAAACAGTGCTAGCTATGCGAGCAGACATTATCGAGCAGACGCAAAAGTTGATACGTACGTTGCAATAATAATCTTAATATGCTAACTGATTACTTACATAATATTACAGTATTAGTAGAAACTTGACTTTTCACAATTTGTTTTTTTGATTCGTCTGTTTAATAAGATGGTGTTTGGTTACTTGCTGAAGAAAAAGTTGTTGCAGCTTTCTCAATACAAAAATTTTATCTACAAAAAAGTAAAAGATATATATAAACCATTCAGATGGAAGAGATAAAGAAGTAGCGATAATGTTATAATAACGAAATTTATATTTGCATCAGGGTAACCAAAAATAGGTTATACTCATAAATGGCTACTCCAAAATCCAAACTGTCGATAGCTAAAATATTATTGCGCTACGCCAGATATTTACGTATCTTGTGTAAATAATATATTTATTCAGATTCGATGATAATGTCATTAATATTAAAGATTCTAATGCTTGCAAATAAGCAAGCTTTACTGAGCCAGACAAACCCTCATTTATCATTTGTTTTTACACTGTCTGCATCTTTTTAAAAATTGGCGTCAATGTTTGTTACCATAAATCGAATTTGTTAAAAAAAAAAGGAGCTACAAACCTCTCATCTTATTCTCAGCGAGACGGAGACCACTATAAGCATGTCACATTTATGTATTGTAATATGACAATACATGAGCAAAGTTATCGTGCAAATTTTGCAAAATAGACATTTTGTCGTAAGAACGCTCAATTTAACATTTGCATTATAGCAACTTCTACAATGCATTTTCAAAGAGCATTCTCAATGTATATTGTGTTACATCACACGGATCTCCAAAGTGGTACGACAGTTGAATTGATTTCTATTCTCGGTTAGTCAAGACAAAATTCTCACGGTACAATTGTTGAATGTACTTGCGCCACCCGTGACCGTAAATCGGGGCTCGTATATACTTTGAATACTTATCGAGAATGATCTCCTGTTCCTTCCTTACAGTCAAGGATCGCATATACCGTTATCATATTGTACGTCTCAAGCAAAGTGCTCAAAAATGACTACTGAGGATAGCGCTGCCCCTCAACTTCATAAATGTGGCCCACAACCTGAGAATACGGGTCCGTTTAGGACAACATTGATGTTCGGTATTACTGAAGGCGTCGGATCCTTAAATATATGTTTGGATGTGTTAAAAGCTTTGAATGTCAGCTTGTCTAGGATCGAGAGGTACATATACGATGAATCAAGAAAATTGTAGGAATTTCCGGAGTAGGGTTCCGAATATAAGTTTGAACCATATTAATCGTATGCAATCGCTCATTCGATACGCGATTTAACAGTCGGCCAAGTAAAAGTCCTGGGTGGGACTATGAGTTCTTTGTCGATTTCGACGCTGAGGATTCTGAACAGCTCTCTCATATCATGAAAGAACTTGGGAAAGTTGCTAAACAAGTTAAAGCTGTTAGCAAAAAGAACACGGTGGCTACTGAAGGTAAGTAGAAATCTTTGAATCCATGATATCCGTCAATGATAAGCTGAATTTATACGTTGACTTGATTAACTCTTTCTAAAATATTCATCAGAGCAAATTCCATGGTTTCCTCGTAAAAAGACTGATCTCGATACTTTTGCCGATAAAGTTCTCGAAATGGGCGAAGAGCTTCGTAAGTTTGTATGACGACACATTTGAATCTACAACTTTTATCTATACGTTAATGTTCGTAACATTCTCCGTTCTCTCTCCCCCCTTCCCCAAAAAAGAATCAGACCATCCTGGAGCAAATGATTCGGTCTATCGTGCTCGACGAAAAGAAATAACTGAAATAGCTAAAACCTACCGCAGCGGCCAGCCGATTCCTGAAATCGCTTATACTGAAGTTGAAATCAAAACATGGGCCGCCGTGTTTGAAAACCTCGTTAGGTTGTTTCCAACTCATGCCTGCAGAGAACATCAGTACATATTCCCGTTGTTAGTTGAGAATTGTGGCTATAATGCGAACAATATACCGCAATTGGAAACCGTGTCAAGGTTTCTAAAAGGTACAGAAAGAGAATGAGGAAATGAATGCGGAAGAGAAGTAGGCATGCCAGAAAGAACGCATGGACGTTAAGAGTTAGAGATGCGAATTACTTGCTAATTTACTTAATATTTATTAGATTGTACCGGTTTTACTCTCCGCCCAGTGATGGGTTTACTCACCTCGAGAGATTTCTTAAACGGATTGGCATTTCGAGTTTTTCATTCTACACAATATATAAGACATCATTCTAAGCCTTTGTATACACCCGAACCGTAAGTATTCTGACAAATGTTTAACATGCACTTTATGGGTATAAGAATAACATTGACCTTTGTTCCCGACTCGGTTATATTAGAGATGTTTGTCATGAGCTCCTTGGGCATGTAAGTCTAGTGTCAATGATTAATGATACCAAGAAATTGAGATGGTGACTAATTTTACTTTATTTGAACAGGTTCCCTTGTTTTGTGACCCAGATTTTGCTGATTTTTCTCAGGTATATTTACTTGTATGCATGCTAGTATTCTGAACATCAAGACGTCAAGTTTCATTGTAATCATTATGGTTCCATCGGATTATTGTAGGAAATTGGTTTAGCATCCTTAGGGGCAAGTGATAGCGATATCGAGAAGCTTGCGACAGTAAGTGATTACAGACTGTTTTTAAATTTCCAATAGAACGCGATACTAATTATTGTTGGATACGTGAATTCATAGATTTATTGGTTCACAGTAGAATTCGGTCTCTGCCAACAGGGAAATGAAATCAGGGCGTATGGAGCAGGGTTGTTATCGTCGTTTGGAGAACTCGAGGTATAACGTCTGCTTTGCAATTCGTTTTTATCCGAGTTACATTTTGTCATTGATCTATTTTCTTTCGATCCAGTACGCTTTGACATCCGAACCTGAAAAACGCGTATTCGATCCAAACGCAGCCGCACTTCAAAAATACCCTATAACGCAGTACCAGCCCATCTATTACGTTGCCGAATCTTTCAAGGATGCTCAAGCTAAAGTGCGTGAATTTGCCAAAACTCTAAATCGGCCATTCTCTGTAAAATATAATCCTTATACAGAGAGTATTGAGGTGTTGGACAATAAAGAGAAAATCGTGAGATACGTTCAGAATATTAAAAGCGATTTGACTAATTTTGTTGATGCTCTTGAGAAGTTGAGGTAAAATAAAACTAAGTAGAGTAAAGTTGGGAGCAGAATCGTTCTAAGATGATTGATCATACGTAATTTATTATTTTTATTATTTTTGTTTTAATTTTGCAAATATGCAATATAAGCGAATAGTCCTATTATTTCAATACGTCAATTATAACTGTGCAAGATAAGCATTGTTCTAATTCCATCAATTTTATAACATTCCTTCATCTACAAGGCGTTTAAATTCCATTATTGGAATTCGATCACCATTGTCCATGACTTGACAAATATTTTCTGGATGCATAAAGTAATTCGTGAGGCCATCTACAAGATTATTTCCCATGTATAGAAGATTTTTCTCCATCTCGTTCCATTGATACATATCGCCATCATTGTCTAATAACCAGTTTAAGCTGTTTTTATCTATCTACATACATGTAGAAGATACAAAAGGCGTATCTATTGAGGGGGGGAGAAGATAATACGAATTTATAGTAGATCGTGAGGAACGTGTTCAACTTAATATTAAAATATGCGTTGTTAGACATAGCTGAAACTTATACTACAATCTGTTAGTTTGGAAAGGTTTTCTCAATGGTACAGATGCAAATACTGTCATACATACCCTGAGAAAGATGAATTCCATCAACGGAAGTTATTTTCCTACTATTTGATATAGCCGGTAACCCACTAATCATAACGATATCGGGAAAAAAAATAATCGCTACTTGTCCTGTAATTATTTCCGTGGTACTTACGATAATTAATTATTTACTCCAAAGCGCATTTATCGACAGAATTAAGATCATACATCGACCTGTAGATGGCTGAGGTTGTGAATAGAAATGCGTGTTAAAAGTCACTAATTTATAATTTACTAAGAGTAAGCGAGTGACCCGCTGCTCGAAATTAGCTATAAAGTTGATTGTGATATGAATTTTATTGTTATAGTAGTGACTAATACCTTACAAAGAAACGTTTATTTTTACGTAATTTAAATAGTTGAAATATTCATTCCTACAACAGCGTTCAGGTTTTCGTGTAAGTCTTTGCCAAATGCATTTGTTTCATAATTTTCAGCATGAAGAAATTGAGTCGACGGGCTTCCTTCACATCATCGTGAATAATCACAATTCCTTTCTTACTTTCACAAGATGACAAGTGCGATATTAGAGAGGCAATTAGAGACTCTATCAATTGGAGTTTGTAAAAAATTAAATTTAGTTATTGCATTATTCCGTAAACTGATGCGCCAAACCTTTTAATGGCATCTTTCACAAGTATGGACTCGTCAGGTATTATGAGGTCGCGAAAAATATTTATCTTTTATTCGAATAAAATAACTGCGTGATCAGACAGTGAACACGTGACATGAGTTGTGACCAGAAGCACATAAAGTAGAAGTCAAATTTTCTTGTTGTTTGTTACAATAATGGGTGTAAGATTAAATAAATTAGTTGGCGTACTTCATTATAAAGGATTGACTGTCTAGACTTTTAACCCAAATAATGATCTAATAAATACCAAAATTCTAACTCAATTATATTTACTTATCTCCTATTAAAGTTCTAATTAATAATATATATCATAGTCATACGGTCGAAAAAGTTGAGAAAGCAAGACACCATATTAGTCATTATCGACGCCTTCATGCTTTAAGATTTCAGAAACAACTCTTTCAGCAGCTTGTACTGCTCCAGACATATATCCTGTATCTTGGATAGCAGTCTCAGTACCTGTTCAAAAGAAAAGTGGGACACGATAAATGCTATGCATTAAGATTGGACAGTGAAAATAGTCAATTAAATTACCAGCAAAATGCATTCGTCCAATCGGTTTTCGGAATGCTTCGCCATAATAAAGAAGAGTTCCTGGAGGCTAAAAAAAAATTGTCGAAATTAATATTTGAAAACTCTATTGTTATTATAATCAATTGATATATTTTTGATTCATTTTGCTTACACATAATGCAGATGGAGCTCCAGCACTCCATTCGTCCAGCAGCCAATTCTTCTCAACATAATCAATGGGATGAGCGGCCTGATCGTATGAGAATATTTGAGCCACTTGACTAAGAATTCGTGCTTTAGTTTTCTCATATGGATGCTGATCGATGGAATCAGAGAAGACAAATGGTTAGTCGGCCATTTTAACAAATCATACAATACACCCTGACAGTCAACGAGTATAATATCACCTTGGTGTGTTCAATTGCATGCTTCCCAGTAATAAATACTAACAAGGCCGTAAGAGAAGCATCATAGTTACAACCATCGACAATCTAATATGAAGGTAAATTCTTTTTAATAATTATAGTATCTGGCGACTTAAATATATGAGAACGATCTTACCATTGATATAGGAGATAAACCCTCTCCAAATTTAATGTCTGGAGATTTGTCAAAACAAAGAATTTCTCCACTAAAACCATTCTCTCTCCACCATGCCTTCTCATAAACTAGAGCAATTTTAATATATGCTGGCATGAACATCTTTTCGCACAACTACAGGGAGGTAGGGACACGGAAGGATGAGAAATAGTACATTGGAAAGCCATTCCTATACCTTTAACCGATATCTAGCTACCTTAGCTCTCGCCAGTCCGACAAATGGCTCGATGGAAATCGTAGCCTGTGCAGTGGGGGGAACAGCCATGACTACATAATCGCCAACAAACTTGTGATCTCCGGAATACACTTCCACTTTGTCCTTGTGGTGCTTGATTCGCGTAACTGGACGTTGGAAGGAGATACATCCTTCGGGTAATTTGCGTTGGAGACTCTCGGGTATTTGGTATGCTCCACCTTTAATCTTGAACTCTTGTGCACCATCTCGGGTTTCGGATAGGTTCAAGATGCCTTGTTTTGTTTACGAGTATGGGAGCCACGCATAATGTCGGTTAGATATGCCGATTCAAATGACCAAGCATTTACGCAATATCGTTTGTTCTTTTTACTTACCTCCTCCAGCCTTGATTACACTCAGATAATGTAACAATGAGACCTCATTTCCTTCAGCACCCAATATCATTCGTACGGCACAATCGTAAAGTTCTTTGACTGTCTTACTATGCACTTTGGAACTAATCCATTTGTCAACGGTTATTGAATCCAGATACGTTGCATTTTCTACAGTATGAAAAGTGAAATGATATAGTTAATATAGCAAAGACGTCATCCTTAGAATGTACAAAGCATGCATAGACTCTCCCATACTCGATTTTTGATGGTGATCGACGTCGATGCCTTTGCACAACTTGTCGGTCGCAGAAATTCCATTAAATTGAAGATCCAATAAGACTAGAAGGTATATTAATATGTAACGGGTATGAACAACCGATTAGTATTTAGTTAGAGTCATGGCCATTTTTAGAAACCGCCTATAACTTTTTTCGTACCAAAGATATTCAAGGGGGGGATGGTCGTCGTGGCCTTAAACTTTCTAATGGTTTTCCCTCTCCAATGGACAGTATTTCCCTGAGCGTACTGCGGATAAGTTTCCAACCCAAGTTCGTTCAACAAGTCCAAAATGGGCTTTTGAGTCTTGCCCACCCATTGACCTATAGACAAAAGAAAATTGACATGTTCTACTGACTGGCAATACTCCTACTCTTTCTCTCGTTTGAAGCAGGTGCTGTCGCTTACCTCCAAGATCAATTCTCTTGCCATCACTAAGTTGAGCCCCATAAACCCGTCCACCAACCCGGTTGCTAGATTCAAGAACTTTTACTTGAAATCCTGCTTTATGAAGTTGATATGCCGCGTATAAACCCGATATTCCTGCTCCACTTTAAGTCATACGTGTCCATCAGTGATTGGTTATGTGAATAGAAGAATTTCTAAAATATAAAAAGCTTTGCAGCTTTCCCGACGTACACAATAATTACTGTTTTCTGAGAAGACTTCGACATAATGGGACTAGGCGGGTAGAAAGCAAGTTGCCTAGCCAAGAAAGTACTCAATGCGAGTTTGAGTTCCACAAAATGTGAGTGGTCTTCATATCTGCTGCCGTCACAGTACACCTGAAAGGATAGTATAGTATGTTTTAATTACCATATACTAATAACTAATACTACTAACAATACTGATGCCACCATTTGATAAGGACAAATTGTCGATTGTTGCTAAAGTTAGCGACATAGTCCTGCGCGATTTCGATCACTTATCTCCATTTAGTAAGCGAAAACTTATAGTACTGAATATGACGGCTTCAAATTAGCAAGAGTAAATAATTAACGTCTCGGTAAACAAATATCATTGGTAAAAAAAACGGGTATTTAAATCAATATTTAATTCACATTTGTGAATCGTAAATATATAAAACAAAACATGGATTAATTGGTACTAAAAAAACTATTCGATGTTGATTATTACACTCGAATAGGTTAGAATTTTGAAGGGTTGAGAATGGTTCGGATTTAGAACAACATACCATATGGATATACACAGTTCCCGATCATAGTGTTGATGAACTGTAATTAAGAATTTACAAGTATTCATCAAAATAGCACCTTTATTTGAGAAGCATAAACTTTACAATAAAATATACATTTTGTTAATCCGTACAAAATAATTATTTACGTAAATTATTGAGAACAATGACATATCAGTTAAAATATGTTTCATCCATAGATATCATGAGACATCACCGTTCAATTAATTTCTACTTTGCAATTATACTGCTTGTGAAATAGAGAAGTTGTTTCTTTTTCCTTTATCGAAAGAAATAAGAAAACGAGTGTTCAGAGTAAAACGCAAGCGATTATTAACTCTTGATTGATAATAGCATGTGATGGTCATAATACGCCATAAAAAACGAACTGGGCAAGGAACAACCTGTAATGTCGTTGGCATTTGAATTACATAGTGAAGACAGCCGCTACGGTGGGAGAATCGCCTTGGTCGAAAGTTTCTAAAGAGATACAGTCAACTCTGTCTATACCGGCACGAGTGTTTTGGCAGTTTCTGGCCGTTATAATGAGAGACCGGTATATAAAACTGTTACACGGGTATGAAATTGTGTACCCAC